CCCACCCCACCCCAGCCGTACCTCAACAGCGGGTGCAGAACGCAGGCTTGCTGCAATGCTGCATATCTAGAAGCTTCTCTACCCTTGGTTGAGGCCTAAAACTGGTCAACACCTCCAAAATCACTTCGTGTTAGTATGTTTAAGATAGATTTTGACAAGTCTGAGTACACACGGAACTGGCACTAGTTCATACAGCCCCTTCCAATAACACCCAGCAGTGCGTTTTCAGGTGTGCCTCATTCAAAGGTGAGAATAGCAACTTTGACGACGTTTTGTAAAAGCAAAATACCATGTTTTTCCCACTGTATGAATATAGAATATACACATTTGCATACTGCATGCAGTAAGAGAAATAATCTCCTCAATGCAATCTGAAATTTAAAACTATTTCTTACATCTTATTCTCCAGAGCTGTATTGTTTTTCCTCTAAAAATTATTAAAGCAAGATGTCCAACTAATTTTAAGGATGGTGAACAGCACCAGGCACTTGGTTTCAATTTCAAATAAACACATTTGACTGCAACCAAACACAATTTGCACCTCCCCCCAAGATTCCGCATACTTCTATATTCTTTTTCTGAAATGGTACCAACAAATTCTGTAACTGCATTTCGCTGCCTCCACCCCGACACGGGAAACACACTGGCTTTCATCCGGCCAGGCAGGACCTGGCTGCTGACCACAGCGACCACCCAGCAAAGCAGCAACCCTCTGCAAGACCTGCCGGGTACGAAGACACTGCTGGTAAGAAAGTCTCTGAAAATCAAGCATGGCATAGCTCCAGCTATTACCAAGAGACATGGAAATTTCTACATTTCTGATATTCGAGCCAGATGAAATAGGAGCAACACTAGCAAACTTCACACATCTCTAATCAGCCTGCCCCACCTGTGTAATTAGCTCTGACGCATATGCAGACTCACAAGCTCGTGAAAGTTTGAGAGCAGAAGGTGCATGGCTAGCCACGCAAATCAAAAAAGCAAGGGGAAAAAAAAAAAAAAAAGAAGATAACATTTTGGGCTCCATTTTCTGAAAATGAACCATTTTCTGGAGACATCTTCTCCAGAATCAGCATTTCTGAAGTTGAAAATTTACTGTGACAGAAGTGTGACAGCAGAAGGCTGTGCAAGATAGCTGTTAATCCAGGTTTACAATCCAGCCCTTGCTGAGAGCAGTGCCCATGGAAGGAGCTGAAGGCACAAGGGTTGTGGCAAGCACCGTGCTGGTAACGGGTAGGAATTTGGGCCACACTACTGTCACCACCTACATTATTAAAGCTTAATAGCTTTCAGGCTAAGCTGCCTTCCTACGCTCTGTTTTGCCTTATCAAATATGACAAGATTAGCACTACACGAGATGCTGAGTTGACAGCTTTGAAGACTGGAACCTGCTCTCTGCTGCTGGGTGAGGACAAACCGGGCAGAGGCAACAAGAACTTCGACACTTTTATCCTCAAAAGTGGAGCAGGACCGGGACAGAGCAGGATGCGCCAGACAGGGAAGCTCAGCTGCTGTCCCCTGCTCAGCCTCCAGCGCCCGAGCCCCGGCAGGGATAGTGCTGACAGCAGTCATTAGCAACACTCGTTAGCAATGGGCAAAGCTTGCTACAGGGAAGCAGCCCAGCATTCCCAGGAAGGAGCAATGGGAATCCTATACATTCTGAATACCATAACACTTATATACAGTAAGCTAATAACTCCAAACCAGGCTAGCATTTTTCACTTGGTGAAGACTCCCTTCCCCACATTCCCCAACACCCAAGACAGCAGAAATCCCACGCCAAACACACCCCGTGGTCTCCAGCGCCCACATCGTCAAAGCTAGTGCTATTTCCCAACAGACTTTCATTCTCTGTTAAGTGAACTGAAATGTTTATTACAATTAAACTCTTCTTGGCCAGAATATATCATAGGACCATGAACATCTTGCATACAGGGTTTTTCTTAAAATTAAGTTCACTTTCGCTAAATATGCCCCACCACTTTCTGCTCTGGATATTTTGGGCAATTTCCATCCTGCTACTTGGTTACCTTGTTGGGCCTCGCTCCTGAAAAACTGGAGACTATAAGCACTCTCCTGTGAGCCTAGAAGTGAGCCATTTTCATTCCAGACAGACAGTGAGTGATGTTTTAAATTCTGTTCATCCATTTTTCTTAACCGAATTTTGCATTAGTAAGTCAGGCGAGTGAAACATCCAAACGCTGCCTCTTTGATGGGTGTAATGGGCTATGCAACAAAACGAGCAATTATATCCTCTCCTCCAAAATCTATTTTAAAGAAATGCTACATTCTGCTCTTATTTGAATTTATATAAAATACAAAATCAAGTTCATTCGGATCCCTCCTGTTTAGAGTCCCCTGAAGAGCCCAGTCATCTGTCCAGAGTCATATGCACAAAGAAACTATGTTCTTGCTTCTGATTTGAAAAGACCCTGATGTAAAGATGAATGGACCTAACGGATTCACCTCCTGCAAGAGGAAAACACGCCAGTGACAAAGTGACGTTCTGAGCACACCTCTAACATATCAACTGCTGGGTACACCGAAAGCGAGTAACTAATCGGGAGATGGTAAAAATCAGTATTACAAGCTCTTGCACAGCAGTGGCACAACTTTTCTGCAGGGACAATTAAATAAAACAGAAAAAGAGAGAGACTGCTATTGCTTCCGTAGATTTTTCTAATGGTCTTTTTTTGTGTCATTCATTATCCCTATTCCTAATTTTACAATAGTAACATTAATTCAATTTTCAAAACTGTTTACAGCTTGACACTTTCCACGCTAAAAGACGACCGAAGTAACGAAGCCCGGTCTGTCGCTGAGCAGGAAGCATACAGTATATATGAAATGCACCCCCCCGATCCCCTCCACTCCCCCTTCACCGAGTTAGTAAATGCTTGTGAATAGAGCACTGGAGGGAAGTGATGCAGTAATGCAGAGGGAAGAGAGGGAAAAGCATTAACACTTTCAAGAGTGACGAAGTTTTAGCGATTACTGGGAAGTCAAATGAAATGTTCAAGGAGATCATTGTTCAAAGAGAGCATAAGGAGCAGCCAAAAAACTTACACACTGATGTCTTCTGGTTATTGTCCTTGCTTGGCATTAGCTTCACCCCTCTGGACTTCAGTTCCATTTGCTTTTTGACTACAGAGACAGATGTAAAACAAAGCAAAGACAAGGAAAAGATTTAGCTAAGCATTACAGATTATTTTCAAAGAAAAAAAAGCAGCAGCCACAGTTGTGCAGCCCCCCATGCAGGATATCCTGCACCTTGCCCCCACAGCCCAGCCAGCCCATCCCGACCCCTCAGCACCAGGAGGGTCCCGGGCTCCTTTCCCGTGCTAGGTCTGGACTCGCGGCCTGGGGATCTGAGCCCAGCTGACCCAGCTGGAACGTAAGAACGGGGCACACAACCCCCACCCCTCTGTAACCATCCGGGTTTGATTCACATCCTAAAAACGGGAAACAGACCACAGGGAAGCTCTACAAAATTTCAGGGATCCCGAGAGTGAAACGCTGAGCTGGCGTCACCCAGTGTTACTGCTGCAGTTACCCCATCAACACATTACACAGTAAAGCCATTCCCTGCTTCTGTGGGAATACAGCACTCAAATGAACACCCCATTACCTAAAACTGTACACCTGATCTGCATAAATACTAGACTTAAAAAGGCAGTAAAATAGCAGAAAAAAGGGCCATGGGAAAAGCACACTGTCGGCTAAGAGAAGTATAAACTCACAGACCCACTCTCCCAGCCACAGGCACACCAATTCTAAAATCCGCGTGGCGACTCTAGCAGAGGTCCTGCTGCGACCACCCACCTCCCCGCTCTCAACCTCACCCAGAAGATGAGGGAACACACGAGGGCAGCAACAAGATTGCCCCCCATTCACCCACCGCCAAGAGGGTCCGGCCTTCGTCGCGGTGTGACAACGGCCACGTAACTGCCCAGCTATTTGCTTTTATTATCTGGACTTGGCTGTCACGGAGCTGCGCTCTACGCAAGAGGGGGTGGCACAAAACCCACCCTGTCAAAACCATCCGGATGCCGGCAGAGAGAGACAACGGCTTCCAGCAGCACGCACACGGGTGTTTCCGACTAACACACAGCAGAATGTTTACTGGCATATTTGAAGTTAACATGGTTAAAGAGCAACTTCACAGCAGAAACCATGATGTTCGCATCACTCTACAGAACCCTTTTCTGATGAGCCAGTCCTCGTCTACGGAGAAAACCAGTCCACCCTGCACTTCAAACTGCTCTTTTCTTGTTCTTTATCTTGTCATACTTTCGTCCCCAAATTAGCACATTTCTAACACAAAGCTGTCAAGAAAAATTACCGATGTAACTAGCAAGTTTTTTTTAATCATGTTTTGCTGGCTTAAAAAAACCTGAAACTGTTTGTAACATCTGTTTGCAGGAGCTTCAGACAGGGAGATGTCAAGCGTTATTCCTTGAAGCTCACCTAACGCCGTGCCCTTCCCAGCGCTTTCTCTTTAAATCAAGCCGTTATAACTTCAAACTGAGTTCCACATTAGCTTAAAAATATTCATGAAGAAAAGGTGATGTTGTTCATGTCTTTCTTACTAGTATTAGTACCTTTACTCTGTTGAGGGGGGCTTGCCTTGTTTTTTTAAGAGGAGAAAAATAATTAACAGTACACCACTTTCAAAGCAAATCCAACACACCCTTGTTCCTTCTCTATCGCTATCCACCTGCAAACGCCCGAGGAGAAAAGCAGCAGCAGGTCTGCGACCGCCCGGACAGCCACGCGCTGCTCCAGGCCACGGCGCGGGAACGCTGCGGGATCCGCAGTCTGACCTCGCGGCCTCTGACCAAGGCGCTGCACCAAGGGACCAAAGCAAGGACACAGGGTGACAAAAGCTAACACCTCTGCGGCAAGGCTGGAACCTATTTCTGCCTCACCTGGAACAGCGACAGCTTTAAAACACAGAGGAGAAATGAGAGGCTGGACTGAAGGCCACGGCCTTAGGGGCTGCCTCGCGTGCTCTCTTGCTCGCGTGTAACGATGCCAGCCCTCATCTGAGCCGGGCTCCGGCTCGGGGCAGCCACGGATAAACACCCTGCAGCGAAATACCAGGTGGGATGTGGGAAGAGTCTACAGGGTCGCCCTCGCAGGCGCTTCCAGCACAGCAGAGGGGTCACAGCTACCACGATGCTCTGGGCGAAGCCCCCG